CAGGAATTCATCCAGTAGTAAAGAAGCTTTGAGTGCAAAAAACAACTGCACTTGAACAAATAGGGGGTAAAAATCCCAGGTCTGTAGTCAGGCAGTCTTGAAAGCTCTAAAACAAGGGGTAAAACAACTTCTTTCAACACAGAATGTTAACATTCAGTTCCAGCAAGGCCAGTTTATATAGCAATCTTGTTAACAGCTGTTATAACCATCACAAAAACTTTCAATTCTGAACTACATGGAAAACACATCTCAGTTCTATTGTTTTGCTTAACTTTGAACAAATCTGCATTGCTTGAAGTGACAATCTGAAAAAATGAGTGTAATTTTCACACCATTTTACCACACTGAGGTTTAATATCAGAAACAAGTAACACCACTCTTGGAGAAGGAATGTGTGACCGAGGAAGATGAGATCTTTGCTCAGAATGCCTGAAAAACCCAGTCATGCCCACAAATGAAGGGAAGGAAATTAGAGATATAGAAATCACCAACTGGAGAAAGCCACTGATTAAATAGCAGTTTTGCTTGTTTTCTGCATGTTCTTTCCCTCTCCTTGACAAAATAAAGTGTCAGATAAAGTGCCCTATTTACAAAACAATGGACATATGAAAAACTTACCAACTCTGGTGTTAGCCTGTATTCTGGAGGTATTGTATCATCATGTTCTCCAGCCTTTTTTTCTTTCTTCTCTTTAGCTTTTGCCTTTAAAAGAAAGAACAAAAAAATCACTTAGAGAAATCAAAATAAAAATTGAAAAGTACACTCAACTTCACAATCAAGATTCTTCAGCCTACTGTTTGAAGAAGTACTAGCATCAGACAAAATCATTCCATATATGAAGATACTAAAACTCCTCAATCTATTCCTATCAAATTTCTGTGGTAAAATTGCCATGGCTTAGGAATTAATGCCATATGTGAATACCGCTATATAATTTTAAATTCTAATAAACTTCAGACACTATTCAGAGCCATGACTTTGTGGCAGGTAATGTTAGAATTTTTGGGGTGTACAAAATCCTCAGGTTTGCTTGGATTTCATCATTCAAATTATACAAGCTTTAATTCTGTATCTTTTTCCATCAGTCCTATTGAAACACAGCTTTTAATTCTCTGGACCTCCTTCATGAAGCAATGCACCCACTCAGTTATCTGAAGGCCCAGACTGACTGAATCTGCAATACAACATGTTCTTTTTTGTCAAAATTGAGCTCCAACATCTTCTCTCAGCAACAAAGTATTTTCTACTATTTCCATCATTTGTTTGCTCTGAGCTTTAAGTGAAGACAGGGGAAAATAACTGATACTAGTAGGGTTATAGGCAGAGTTTGCAAAACTAAACAAAAAAGTCAAAGTTTAACATGCAAACACAAGGCTGCTGTTAAAATCTAGCTGTTGAAGAAAACCAAAGTCTTAGAAGACACAGCAGAAGGCAAGACCCAAATCAGAAACACAATGGGGTCTGACAGAAAAAGGAGTAAGTGCACTAAAACCCCCAAAATTGATTAAAAAACGAACAGCAAATACATGCAAAACAGAAGCTTGCTGTAAACTGTACACAGTCCTTGCAGAAAAAAAGAGAGCAGCTATAGCTAACACAGGGAAAGTGTATGTATGTATGCTTGTATAGCCAATGAAATGCTTATCATTTTCCAGGCCATCCTACTATATTCTATTCCACCTGTACCCACTCAGGATTTTGTCATTTCTTAATTTTCTTCATCATGTAAGACTCAGACATTCCTTAGGTTTTTGATAATAAAGTTGCTTTGTTATTATTTTACACATTTGTACACTAACAAAGAGGACTCAGGATTCCATGGGAGAGTCTGAAAGCTGCTGTAAACAGGAGTAAGATTATACCTCTGACACCTCTACAACTGGGCTAAGATCTTCTTCAGGTTCAGGTTCAGGTCCACCAAGAGTATCAAGAAGAGCTTCCACTGCATCATCTTTAATTTCCTGTATTTAAGAAAATATGCAAATCATTTCATTATTTCTTTAAGTTGACACAGGTACTACCTTACATATCTTTTATGCTGTCTATTAAGCAAACAGCCAGCTCCAGACTGGTCACTTCTGTTTGGCTTTACCTGATTTCCTTAACATCACACTGCACAACATGGCAAATTATGTGGTAAGATTAGCACAGTCTCATCAAGGCATATCTCCTCTTAAAAAGAGGGGAAAAGACAAAGGAAAAAAAAAGCGAAGCAACATGTAACAGAACTGCTACATGCATAGAAATGGCAAAAACAGAAAGTGTTAGGTCACACTTGCTTTCTACAGAGGAAAAAAGAAAGGCTTGTAAAACATGAGAAAATTACCTCATATCCCAGTTTTAAACATGCCTCACATAGATAACACATTCACTTTTATACTCTATTGCCTCTAGTCAGAAGAACTAGTTATTCTGCAGAAGAATCCAGAAGGAAAAATCATCTGACCCATCAAGGCCGGATGTTTAAAGTACAGTTAAAAGTCTGAGCAATGGCAATTCCTATTATTCCTGTACTTTCTATGATAAATCGGATTTGCAACTGAAACTGAGGACGATGAGCATCTTTACAGAATCAGGCACACATAAAATACAACACGTACTTGTAAATTCTAATTAGAAGTTAACCAGTCAAAAAATGGCTATGCATACCTCTTTTGACTTTGTTTTCTTCTCCTTAGGAGGAACTGAGGTCTTCACTGAACTTGCTGCTTGTGCTTGCACGATTTCTCTTTCCTTGCTTGGTTTCTTTTACATAAGGGCAAAATGAGAGATACAAAATCAGAGGCAACTTTGCAAAAATAAAAAGAAGGGGAAAATTGTCAAGATAATTTTAAAGCAAAATATTAAGACAATAATGGCATGCAATGGTAAGAAAAATATCAATACCTCTGTCAGACTCTTTTCTTCAGCAGAAGCAGTACTACAGGTAAAGTCAGATGACAGGGCCTCTGCAAGCTCATCATCTGTCATTGGTTTCTGAGCAAGACATTGCAAACTAGGTTATGATTATTAAAAGTTCAAATACCAGTGCTGTCAAACGTGGTTTAAAATCAGGATGTGCTCCATGCTTACTCACATAATGACCTCATAAGCATATGTTGCTGTCACAGAAAAAAGAAAGATATTTCGCCCCACTGGTTGATTTTAGATAAGCTTTTATTTTTAGATGTTAAACTTATAAACAGTAAAATTGAGCTGGGTTACAGAATTCTCTTGCCAAGTATAGAAATTAAAGTAATCTTTGCTAAAGACATTACAAAGAGACTCCTGCATGCACAGCTACTATTTTTTCCCTTTGTTATTATTACACCCAATATCTCTATGACCATTTATTTGACTTGTTTGGGCTTCAGTCAGTGTCCTGAAAATTCCTACTTCTTTATTAAAAACATCTGTGCCAAATTCTATTTAGTTTTATCCTTATCTATGTTATCTGGCACCTCACAGCCCTCTCCCACTTCCTGGAATCTTTGGAAGACAGGCAACATTTAAATTTTCCTAGGAATCCAATAATAATTGGGTTATTTTCACCTTCCAATGTAAACAAAAAGTCTTACTTCATCTTGTTCATCTACTTTTGGTGGGACTCCGTCTTTGCCATCCCCTTTGCTCTAAAATGAGAATTAATTTTGTAATAAATGCAAAGCAAAAACATACAATATGAAAGAAAACACACATCAAGAATATTTCTTTAAATTCACTAACCTTCAACAACTTAACATACTCTGGAGGGAGACTACCTTCCCGTTTACCCATTTCTTCCAAGTATCTTGAATATACATCTTCCTATGAAAACAACACACACGTTAATGTTTTTGTGCTCTTGTTTATTGAAATACATTTCTAATGTAGAGCTATCTACAACAAAACTTCTGGAAGGAAAATATGAGGGTTGGCTAGGTCAGAGGGCCAATCCTGAACCATGACTATATAGTGCCTTTCAGAACCTAGTGTCATGGACATGCATCTGGACTAGCTCCAACAGTACAAGTCATGTAGCAAAACTCTGCGTCTCCATTGCCAGACTCCTTCTGCATTAACATAGGCCATTTCAGTGTCTCAGGCCATAGAATGTATTGCGGTACCTAGATTGCATTTTAAATATTTATAAATTCCAAAATTTTTATCATGTCCAAGTACTGCACTGAGCCATTGAGCTTGTAATCTTAATCCTTCTTACGTTACTCTCTCATTCTAACTCAGAAAAAGTATGCATTCTTCCCCAGATTCTCAATAGTTTACTCTTTCTCAGGTAGAAATGAGATCTCCTAGGTTGTTTACTCTCTCTTACATCTTCATCACTGTCTTTTTTTAAATCCACTGGAGACCATGTTTGGAAGTCACTTCAAAAAGCAACAAAACTTCTTTGTTGACACTTTACTGTTTTCTACTGCAGTACATCCGTAACTATCATTTCTGTATTACTGAAAACAACACTGAAATGCAACTGTGCAAATTTTTTACCTCTTAGCAGATCAAAGTGACAAATACTGGATCAACATAGTAGTGAGCAACTACAAACATAATTTAGAGATTAATTTTCTAAAAAAAAAAAAAAAAAAAAAAAAAAACCAATTAAAAAAAAAAAAAAAAACCCAACCAAAAATTAAAAATAAATTTTTTAAAAAAAAAAAAAAAAAAAAAAAAAAAAAGTAAAATACCATAACTTCTGGACCAGTGTAAACAGGACTAGTAGGCACATCATCTTCAGGTCCACCTAGGGTATCTATTAGGCTATCTAGTGCCGACTCATCCATACCAGGCTAAAAAATAAGGAGACCATTATGAAGTTACCATGCTGTACAAAGGAACACAAAAATATGAATCATATGGTGAATCTGTAGAAAACTCCTGGAAACTAAAGCAAAAGCTTTCCTTCAGTAGGTCCTGCACTTGCCAAATTTTTCAGTGAGAACTGTTCTTAAACTCGTTCTCCAATGTCAGTAACAAGATTGTATTTATATACCAGCTGATATACATGCATACATATACAAACATAACTGGAGATAAAGAATAATTAATTTTATGCTAGTTATGGTAGAAGTGATTCTAAATAAGTCCGATTTGACAGAACACAAATGACATGCCACTAGTTTATTACCTACTCTTTCAGACAGTCCTTCACCACCACCATACACAACTACTACACAGCAATGCTTCAGCAGTTACTAATTTATTTTTTCTGAAACTGAAGCGTTTCAGAGAGAGAAACACTCTCCAAGACATTTTTACAAAAGAAGCATTTGCCTGGGACTGTGTTTACCAACCTCGGTACTTGACTTATCAGCTGCAGTAACCACACTTGCACTGGCTGCCTCTGCACCAGCTGTGCCAGCTGCTATGGACATCTTCTCAGACTTAGGCTGGAGAAATGAGAGAAAAATTAAGAGACAGCCTTATTACATGGCCCTATGTTAAAAAAGCTAGAGACAAAACAAAGTAAAACAGAGATGTTCTATTCAGGCATGCCTATGTATTGCCCTCCTCATCTACATTTTGAATAAAAAAGATAAGCTGGCTCTACCTAGTGGCTGAGTGGTCTAGAAGTGGAGTAGCTGCAGCTTGCATGATAGTGAGCCCAGCCTAAAACATCCAACTCAAGCCACGTATATGTTTTTGGACTCAGCAACTGGCTAATACACCTGCACAGCATCCAGATGCTTGGGCAGAGTAAGCTACCATCTATGTGCAATCCTATGGAGACATACTCTGCTTCCAGTGTGATTTTGCTGCAACAAGGAAAGCATATAATTTTAAGTACTCTACCTCTTTCTTTTACTTCGCCAGTAAAAGAAATCTGCAATACAGAAAGACTAGGAGGCCACTTCCAAGTCTCTTTTGAAAGCTTTCATTTACACCTGATAGCTCTCAATACACCAATACACCAGCAGCAAATACCACTCAAATAGGCAAGGTGAAAACTGCTTCAGAGAGTTAGGTGCAGGAGCAACACCAATACAAAATGCAGACTTTTGCATTACTGACATTCTCATTTACGGCAAAAAAAGTGGGTTGTAGTAGAGGTGCAGCAGGCCTTCATGTTACCCTGGCCTTGTTACCCAGACACCTGCAGACCGGAAGACCTAAAGATCTAGATCCTGACTCTACTACACACTTTTGCTCCAGTTTCCTCTCCACTTGCCCCTCTGAAATGACCCCTCTCCAACTTTTTCCCCAACCCTTCTCTCCATATTTTTTTTTTCCCCAGAGTCTTGCAGTCAGGGCATATGGGCTGCCCTACTGTAAATGGATAACCTGCTGACCCGCTGCATTTGGAGCCAACACTGCTACTACAAAAATGCCACACGGGAAGGAGCTCCATGATGGCAATGCCTCACCTTCAGTAGTGAAGGGGCAAGGGAAGAGACTGGCAATGAACCAACTACAGCCACGTATCTGCAAGGAACCATCAAAAAGCTTGCATGAATGACAGAGGAGCCCCAAACATGTACCACTCAGGAACAAGCCTAGAATTGTAATAATCTTAATGTCGCTTGCTTGGCTGACAGCCAGAGTGTGTTGGACAATGAAGACAGATGTATGAAGAGGACAACAAAAGGTGGGTGCACAACAGGATCATCAAACAACCTACAAAAACTACCAGTACCATCTGGCTGGGCACCTCTATCTGCAGGTGATGCTCATCCATTAATGCTGCCATGGGATAGCTGGAGTTGGTATATTAAGGATGTTGTTTAAGTTAATTAGTGGGTAAAGCATGAAGTTTGAAGTCCCAGACTTTAAAGCAGCAAAAGGAGGTTTGTCATACACACCTTTAAACACAAGATAGCTTTTGAGCTTTTCTACATTGTGACTTTCGGGGGTCCAGTCTCACTTTACAGTATGCAGCATAAGAATCCATCTTGATGTGGATTTCTAACCCCTACAGTAACACAAATAATAAAAAAATGGACAGCTACTTCTACTGTACCTTTGCTGTGTCTGTGGAGGTTGCTTGTGGAGGCTGGTCAGCTTGAGTTGTAGTTACTTTTCCTGTATTATTTGGTTTAGAAGTTGTTGTCACAGAAGGTGAGGTTTGTTTTTTTGCCTGTGTAGAAAGAAACTATTATCATTAGATATGGAAATACTTACGGGCTGGCTTTGTTTGGTTTGGTTTTTTAACGTGGGGTTTTTTTTTAAACTGAAGAAAGAAAGAAGAAAAATACCCAAAAAACCTCTCATTAGAGAGGGAGAGAGAGAAATTACACAACTTACACCACTGGCTTCCTTTTGCTTCTCTTCAGATGGCTGTTTACCTTGAGAGTCTGTTGGCTGTCATAAAATAAAAAATTTACATCATTTATTCTTGTCACCATTCAGTGCTATGGAACACTAGTTCAAATCAGCACAAGACAGATTTAAAGATGGTTAACAGAACACTTCTTAAGCTGCTGTGAAGCAATACAGCATCCTGACTGTTCTCCCCGAACATTTAATTTCCACACCTGTCAGCTCCTAGCTCTTTTGCACACAGGTATTTTACTAATCACATGGCCGTTTCACGTGGCACAATAGTAGCAGAGTTTAGCCTCTTTTTTCCAAAGTTAGTCAAAGACCAAAGTACAACAACTTGCCAAAGGTGAAAGATAAGCATTTACCTTGGTTGACTGTGTGTTTTTTCCAGATTCTGTTTCAGTTGTTGGTGCAGACTGAAATATAAGCAACATATATTCAGACAGAGATTAATATGCTTGGTTATTTCTAAGGGGTTGGCTTATATAAAGAAGAGTATCAGACAGGTTCACACTCGTGAGCACAACATGCTATGCAACTAATATACAGTGCTTTGATCTTGCAGTTTACAACATCCTGGCACAAATCTCCATTCCAGCAACCTAAGAGCACTCAAATGTGTGCCCCCCTCCATGAAGGATCAAAAAGAGAGGGAAGGAAGATATTAAACAAATATAATTATCAGTTTGATTTACATCTCAACATTTTCTGCACCCATGCCACAAAAGCAATTCCTGTAATTCAACTCAAGTCAAAGTACAGTAAGTAATGAAATACTACTAGTTGAAACACATAAGAACAAACACTGAAAAAAATAGAGAGCAGTTATATCTGATAAGAAGAAAGAAAAATGAAAATGCCAGCTTCCTCACCAGATTTTTCTCACTATTTTTTCTTCTCTTGCTACTTCAGCTGTGCTACGCTTCACACAAAAAGAGCCAGCGTGGCTACTGGAAAGTCATCCAGAGACAGCAAAGAGAAGCCTGTTGCCTACTGCGTGATCCTCAGAAGCTGTGGCCGCTGAACGGCCAGGGGAGCACGTGCACCCAGGGGAGCGGGATCTATCTGCTAGCACAGCACTGGGTGCGCGGAGCACACAGCGGCAGATGCAGACCCTGAAGCCTGGGCCCTTTCCCCCGTTGGGGCTGGCATCCCTTTGCTTCCTCCGGAGCTGGTGGGGGACACCAGTACTGTGTCTCGTTGCACTGTGTCCACCCGCAGCAGGGAAGTTTTGAAGGCTACCTAGGAAATAAGGCGCCACAGAAGCCTTCCTTATCCCCTCTATCCTACTAATACACTGAGCATATTTAAAATTACTAAGAGACAAATAATAGGGTCTTTTCCCCCGTAGCCTATTAAAAGCCAGTGAAGAACCTACCAAAAAATCTCTTAAGTGGTAATTTAAATTTTTTCATTGCTTTGTAGTATTTTAATTTCAGCTGCCAAACATGAATTAACACTTACCTACATCCAGTTTCTGTTTTCTAGCTGACCACATAGAGAAATTTGTTAAATTTGTTATGCAAGTATTCACACCTATACACTGAACCACAGACACTTAGTTGGGAAATCCTGAACATGCATAAAAACATAGATGCCCAGGCATAAGCTTGGCAAAGGTCTCGAAGCTGTAGACCACAGTAAGGAACACACATCCACAGCTGTACAGAACATAAATTCAAGTTCCCACCCTGCCAAACTAGTTACTAGCAACTGCATGCCCTTTTTTAATCTTGTAAATATTATTTTACTAAACACTTACTGAATTTTTTGTGTAGGGTATGCATTATTCATTATTCTTGTGTACCTTTTAAAATGTGCAGAATTGCTCATACTATAAATTTATGCTGAAGAATATATGGACTCATATGGGCAATACTTTGATTCAAGACTTACACACACATGAGTATGCTAAGGCCACACTAAAAACACATAACCACGAACACATACATGCTCACACACACACACACATCTATTTAAGTACACTTTTAGCAATAACAAAATTTGAAGAAAATTTTAAAAATTACCAGACAAGTCAAACCAACAATTTTAGCATACGAGCATACATTCACTCATCCTTTAAACAGAATCAGTTGTGAGCAGTCACAGCCTGAAGCCATAGCATCAGTTTACAGTGCACACTCCTGCGGAGAAAAAGAAGTCCCACTTCCCGTTCTACTGCCTGCTTCCACCTGCACTGTGCCCCTGTCTGAGAGGCCACATTTTAAACTGACTCGGGAAACTGAAAAACAGCCTGGAAAAAAAAAATAGTATTTTTTAGCTGGGTCCCCAGTTTACAGTGCAGTTGCACAACTGCGTGCAGAAGGAAGACAGCTGACTGGGATGTGTTTTTCTCAGTGGCACTGGCAGCACGCTGCTTCCTCCACTCTTCCAGCCAAAGCCACAGGGTGCCTGCTCTCCACCCTGGTCCTCCAGCCTTTCCACCTAACCCCCGGGCTTCGCCTACAAAACAAGTTGTTCCGCATTCCTTCCTCTGCTGCAGTAACTCACAGCTTTCTCAGAGGGGCATAATACTGAGGGTTAACTTGAGACAAAGCGTTCACATACCCAGACCTGAAAGTTCAGGAGAGGTCCAGAGTGGTTTAAGAATAGTTGCACACTAGACAGGCTCTCAGACAGACAAATGAGATGTGGTTATAGCAGGCAATTAAGAAGGAGTTGTTAATTTGCAAGAAATTTAGACCTAGAAATGGAAGTGACTCAGCAACCTCATTTCTTTTCAAAGAAGTCTACTGTCAAAATGCAGATGACTTGCTTAATCCAGCAGAAGGCAGACATTAATAAAGCCACAGACATTAAAAGAAGACATTAATTGTCTTACACACGTAAATGCAGGACATTGTTTCAAAGGGATTTGTATTTACCAGTCTCACAGCGCTGAAGGATGTTCCCACTACTCTATTTTTGTCTCATCTTGCAAACACCAGTTTTAAAGATCTGATTAGAAATTTACCACATTATTCTAAGAGTTATTTCAA